ATTCTTTTGCATTTGCTGAGGAGTGATTTACTTCTAATTATGTGGTCAATTTTAGAGTAGGTACGATGTGGTATATATAATATATAATATACAATATATAATATATAATATATAATCTGTGGATTTGGGGTGGAGAGTTCTGCAGATATTAGGTTTGCTTGGTCCAGATTTGAGTTCAAGTTCTGGATATCCTTGTTAATTTTCTGTCTTGTTGATCTGTCTAATATTGACAGTCTAGTGTTAAAGTCTTCCACTATTATTCTCCAGATTTTTTAATGATCACCATTCTGACCGGTGTGAGATGGTGTACCTCAATGTGGTTTGACTTGCGTTTCTCTAATGACCAGTGATGGACTTGCATTTCTCTAATGACCAGTGATGATGAGCATTTTTTCATATGTTAGCTGTGTAAGTCTTCTTTTGAGAAGTGACCGTTCATGTCCTTTGCCCACTTTTTGATGAGGTTTTTGTCTTGTATATTTTAGTTTTTTGTAGATTCTGGATATTAGCTCTTTGTCAGATGGGTAGATTGCAAAAAATTTTTCCCATTCTATTGGTTGCCTGTTCACTCTAATGACTGTTTCATTTGCTGTACAGAAGCTCTGGAGTATAATTAGATCCCATTTGTCCATTTTGGCTTTTTTTTTTTTTTTTTTTTTTTGCCATTGCTTTTAGTGTTTTAGTCATGAAGTCCTTGCCTATGCCCACATCCTGAATTGTAATGCCTAGTTTTTCTTCTAAGGTTTTTATGGTGTTAGGTCTTATGTTTAAGTCTTTAATCCATCTGGAGTCAATTTTTGTATGAGATGTAAGGAAGGGGTCCAGTTTCAGCTCTCAAAACATGGCTGGCCAGTTTTCATACTTTTTATATCAGATTTATCTCATTATAACAGTCTTTGCAAGGGTCGTCTTAATAATGGCAATAATATTTATTGAATGTGCATTCTGTACCCTAAGAAGTTGGCAATTTTATTATCCCTATTTTTCAGATAAAAAAACTCACATATAGGTATTATGAGGAGGGCAAAAGATAGCCCCCTGGAAGTTCACTAAAAATTAACTGACAAAGGGCAGGTTAATGGTAGAAAAGGCATACAAAATTATTTTAACATTTATAAGCATGGGGGCATTGCATGAGAATGATTATCCACTTGCTAAGTGGGGCACAGAATCTTATATCTTCTTCATAGGGGAGGGGATAGGGAAAGTAGACAGTTTTTTTGAGGAGCAATAAATGATTATTAGGAAAAATGAATGGACTCGGGAGATAAAAATTAACTTGTAAATGAGTCTGTTTGGAATTTGAATGAGCCCAAGAGGCAGACATTATCTTGTGAAAAACATCTGTCCAGGTGTGCTTGCATTCTCAGCTTGCTTTTCTGCAAAAATAATGAGATTTCAGGGAGAAGATGGAAGGCACTTGTGTTTCTTTTTGGGGGTACTCTTTCTAGATAGATAAGGGAACTTCAGAGAAAATCTTCATCCTGTGCTTTGGGAGAGACAAGTGATTGAGATATTGGGATGAGGGGAAGGTTCCCCATATTTCAGGGCAAAATATTCTGATATTCTTCTTGCCCAATATTCATCTAGTTATATGTAGTTTGTCCTGGAAGTAAACCAAACCAGTCTAAGTCCAGACTCTGGACAGACTCTTAATTATGGTATGACTAAATCAGTGCATGAGTGAAATTAATGAATGAATAATAACACCAAGCCTGAACCTTCCACACATAGGAATCATTCTGGGGATGATGTTATCAGGACAGTCTATATAGTTCAAGTATCAGCTTCAATGTCTTGTTCTACAAGACTTCCAAGTAGCATAGCTTAGAGCATCAATCCCTTCTCTGACACCTTTTTAACAACACTGACTGTTGGAATGTATCCGCATGTCTTCGTTTCTTTACTGCTGGTGAGAGTCTACAAAACTGCTGAAGTATCTATTCTCCTTGGTGTTTCTACAGCCCCAAACATAAAGCTTTGTACACAATAGGCTACCAATGAGTGTTTGCTAGGTGAATAATAGAAACGTGAATGACAAGCAAAGGGATCTTTGACTCTTCCTTTATTTTTTCCCCAGAAATTGTAGACTCTTTTTCATCTCTTTCTCTGAGATTCTGGAGAGTCTGTTGTCATACAGATTTTAGATGGCTCTGTAAAATAAAATTCTGTTTAAAGATATTAAGTACAGGGAAGAAACTATGAAGTATAGTTAGTAACAATTTGATAATCATTTGGTTAGAAAATAATATTTCTAAGAAATTGCTGTTCCTTCCAAACTGCATTCATAGGATGAATAAAAAATAAATTATGTAGAAAATCACCAAAAAACAAACTTTTTAAAAAGTTAACTATAGTCATCAAGAATTGCCGTTCTAAAACCTCAAATTAAAGGCATTTTCTGCTTTGGCTAATAAACCTGTATTCTTTATTGATAATTGATTCTTAGAAGAGAGCCATACTGAGTAAATTTGGCTGGAATGACAAGTTACAAAGCACTTATTTAGGAAGAAGCTGCAAATCTTTACTGTCTTCCTGTTATTTACAGAGCATCATATAGCTAATATGCATAAGACACATAGAAAATAATATAAATTTAATTCGGTGGACATTTCTTTATTGATTCTAGTATATAAAATGAATGGCATTAAGTGCCAGGGAATTTACAGGAATGTAAGACCTGGTCTCCATCTTTGCAGAATTTATGATCTGGAGATGAATATTTGAAAGAGAGATAAATTAGCAAGTAGACTGTGTGATTGTATTATAACAGCAGCTAATATTTAGCACTTAACAAGGTTTCAGTAGCTGCCCTAGTGCTTTACACGGCATTGTCTCATTCAATCCTTACAAAAGCTCTATGTAGTAGGCATTATTATTATCCCACTATACAGCTGATGAACCTGAAGCTCAGGAAGATTCAAGTAACTTCTCCAAGATTGCATGACCAGGGGATGGATGGGTGGAGGTGCCAGGATGCAAACCTAAGTCCATGTGTATTTAAAGTCCATACCAAGAAGGCAGTAAAGATAAGGTACATCGAAGAGCACAGGATTCATTCAAACTCTATGGCACCCAAGCCTGCACTTGAAGGATGAAAGTGAATAGAGATAGAGAAGGGCATTGCTAGAAGGACCAAGGCAGGTAGAGGAAGCTGAAGGGGACCTTGAGAGAACAGAGAAGAGTTCAGTGTTGCCATCCATGCAGGTGGTAGTCTGTGTGTAACAGAGGAGATGAAACTGAGAAGAGTGTTTGGAACCAGCTATCATTGGCCTTGAGTGTTACCAGGAAGAGCCTAGACTTTTCTCATTAGGCAGAGGGCAGTCACTGAACAGTTGTGAACCAGATCAGAGCTGTATTTTAAGATTGATTTGGCAGCCACGTGTAAAAGGAATGAGATCCAGGAGAGGGAAAGAGAGAGGAGCTGTTAGGAAGCTGCTAAAATAGCTAAGGCAAATGGCACTGGGAGTCTGAATTTGTACTGCAATAATGTGAGGAGAGAGGAGCAAATATAGAAACAGGAGATTTGGCGCTGGCTGATATTTTAGTCCGTTTGGGCTGCTGTAACAAAATATCATGGACTCGGTGACTTATAAACAACACAAATTTATTTCTGACAGTTCTAGAGGCTGGAAGTCCAAGATCCAGGTGCCGGCAGAGTCGGTGTCTGGTGAGGGCCCTCTTCCTCATAGGGAGCCATCTTCTCCCTGCATCTACACACGGAGGAAGGGGTGAGAGGTCTCTCAGGTATCTTTTCTAAGGACACTAATCCCGTCCATGAAGGCTCTGCCCTCATGATTTAATCACCTCTGTAAGGCCTCACCTTATGATCAGTCACCTTGGAGGTTAAGATGTAAGTGTATAAATTTTGTGGGGGATACAGATATTCAGACCATAGCAATGGATGTGGAGAACAAAAGAGAGAGATGACAATGTCAGAAGTTCAAAAGAGCAAGCTTGTCGTCTATAGTGCTGAAGAATCACATGTCCTTGTCTAGTTAAAAGGGGTTATAATACTTGGAGATGAGGGGAGCTAAATAGGAATGGTGCAGCTGGTGGAGCACTTGAAAGCACGTGAGTGAAGGTTGGGATTTCCATGTGAAGCAAAGCCACACTTTTCATGGTGTGGTGCAGGGATTTGATGTGTGTTGGTCTATGACCAAATAATGAAGTGAGCATGCAGACCTTTAACAAAGGTAGAACATGTGACATTTAAAGTCTGATTTTTAATTTTGAGCAATTGAAATTACTGAAGTGACCCTATAGAATTTGTATAAGTAAATGATTGCACATTTTGTTGTAAATCATTTTTGAGATGGAGTCTAACTCTGTTGTCCAGGCTGGAGTGCAGTGGTGCGATCTCGGCTCACAGCAACCTCCACTTAATGGGTTTAAGCCAGGTGTCCCCAAACTACGGCCCGCAGGCCGCATGCAGCCCCCTGAGGCCATTTATCTGCGGCCTCCACCCTCTCCCCCTGCACTTCAGGAAGGGGCACCTCTTTCACTGGTGGTCAGTGAGAGGAGCACAGTATGTGGTGGCCCTCCCCCTCCAACGGTCTGAGGAACAGTGAACTGGCCCCCGGTGTAAAAAGTTTGGGGATGTCTGGTTTAAGCAGTTCTCCTGCCTCAGCCTACTAAGTAGCTGGAACAACAGGCATACACTACCACACCTGGATAATTTTTTTCTATTTTTAGTAGAGATGGGGTGTCACTATATTGGCCAGGCTGGTCTCAAACTCCTGACCTCGTGATCCTCCTGCCTCAGCCTCCCAAAGTGCTGGGATTACAGGCATGAACCATCTCACCAAGCTAAATATAGTAATTTTTAAAAGGAAATGTAAACCCTAGGTTTTAAATGGTGCATTAATGTGTATACGTTAACTCAGCATGATAATATAAGACAGACAATAGAAATGTGTATTTTAAGCCTTTTTTATTAATCCAACTAGAACTTTGTGTTTCCCACTTTCATATGAGTATTTTTTCCTATTTTCTAACAGATGATAATGAAGAGGAGGAGGATGTTGAAATGAAAGAAGATTCAGGTATTAAATTTATAATTTCATTATTAGTGGTTAAGTAGGGGTCATTTTGTTGTTTATGTACACTTCATATTTTTTCAAAGACAAAAAATTAAAATAGAAATATATGCTCAGTGTTATAAAAAAGTAGTTGTGCTGACACTTAAGGTAAAAATAATAGAACATGATGTCGTAGTTAATAGTTATATAACAAATCACCCCCACAACTTAGGGTAAGCTGCAAATAACCACTTATGCTCATGAGTACAGTAGAGATAACTTAATCATGCTGTTCACAAGGTTTGGGGTTCAGCAGGAAGGTTCAACAGCTGGGACCATCTCAAGATTCACTCTCTTGTCTGGCTATTGATTGATCTCAACAGTCAGCTAAATTCTTAGCTGGGACAACTTCCCAAAACACTCAACACTTGTACCTGGCCACTTGATGTGGCCAGCTTCCAAAATAAGTTTGTCCTGGAAAAAGGGAGACACTGTATTCTCAGGCTTAGACATTCCACTGCATCACTCCATGTAACTGTATTCTTTGGAGTAGTCACAAGCCTGCCATTATTCAAGAGGAAATGAAAATGGACTCAATGTCTTCATTGGGAGTGGTTCCTTAGAACATTTAAGACCTAAAATATTGCTGTGGCCATCTTTGGAAATACACTTTCCACATTTTATATTTTGCTCTTATCAGAAATTTGTGATGCATGCCAAGTCCTCAACAAAGTCCAGTTGTTATGAGGAAAATCTATTGGTTAAATGCACAGGTTATGGCCTAAGGTAGCCACTGAACATGTCTTTGATAGTGAATCCATGACTCAATAGACCTGAATTCAATTCTAGCTCTATCGGTTATTGACCTTAAGCAAGTGTCATTTTCTGTAAGCCTCAGTTTACAATTCTGGGGGCAATAATTCTTACCATATAGTTTTGTTTGTGGGATTACATCAGATAACATACCTAAAGTTTCACACAGTGCTTGGATCATAGTAAGCATTCAGTATATTATTTTTTTCCTCATTCTAACAGATATTACAAGGATATAGAGCTTAATTGAATGATTAAAAGCTCCTTGTTCCCCATTTTAGCAATCAGTGTTTTGACCATGAAATGTGGCCATTTTTTAAGAGGTATCTCAGAGGTCCTAATTTTGTGTTGATTCCAGAAATCCCTACACATCACTGACAGGCTCAGTCTAGGCAGTTCCATTAACAGGGAGCTCCTTAAATTCTGATGCCTCTGATCTCATTACAAGAGGTGTAATTTGAGTGGTCCTTTTAAGTTATCTCTCTCTCCCTCCTCTCACCACCCACTATCTTCAAGGGGAAATAACACCAGTTTCTTTTCATCATAAAAGTCCATTGGAACAATTATAGCATCTATCTACTATTCTCCAGTCCAAACATGTCTGATTCTTAACATTCCCTTGGACTTCCAAATGCAATGGATTCAGAGGGCATGAAAAGCAGAATCTGAAAGTCAGGAGCAGGAATAAAGGAGGTAGAAGAGGAACTGTAGCAGTGGCTGTTGGGGCCCTACTTATGTCTCCTTGGTGCTTGCTGTTATTTTACAGCACCAACAGCTTTCCAAGGAAAGTCCTTATGACTCTCTGCTAAGTGTTTTACTCTGGCCCTGGGAGCAAACTCAAAGCACCAGAAAGTTAATTTCCTTAGAGCAGCCCTCAACCAATAATAAGCAGAAGTTGGTTGGTCAATATCCACATCTGACACAGGTTCTATTCCAGTGCTGTCTAGTAGAAACACAATGTGAGTCTCAAATATAATTTTAGATTTTTCTGGTAGCTACATTGAACAAAGTGAAAGGAAGAATGTAAAATATTTTGTATAATAGTTCAAAATATTATTTCAACATATAATCAATATAAAAAGATATTTTACATTCCTTCTTTCCATACTAAGACTTTGAAATTGGTGCGTACATTACATACACATCTCAGTTCAAACTGGCCACATTTCAACTACTCATTGGCAGGATGTGGCTAGTGGCTACAGTATTGGACAACATTGTTCGGAGGTCCCCAGTACAACTGAGTCTCGGTTGCCCACAGTGGAATGTGCTCATGAACACACGCAGTAATGGCTGTTTTCCTTTTCCCATCTATCCTCCTTCCCTACTCCTCTTGTGATGCTTGCTAAAATCATCTCTCAAATTAACTGCTTAACATTTAAACCCTTCTATGTTTGCTTCTGAGAGAATATGACCTAAGACAAGGATTTTGCTTCCCTCTTATAAAACAGAGTTCAAGGTAAAATTTTAATTAAAATTTCAATTCCTACACCCCTGTAGAATGTCTTGTTAAAAAGAACCATATGTTTAAAAAAAGACTTTAAATTATCACCATGTCTTGAATTAACTTTCATGAATTTAATCTGAATGCCTGCCCTTCCCATTTATCCTGCTCACATGAAATGTTCTTGGAGTATCTTTTAGCCACGAGGGTTACTGCTCTTTGAAGCACCCAGTATAAGGCCTATATCTTGCCCATGGCTCATTTGCATTAAATGCCATAAGTACACATTTTTAAGCAAAGAGAGCTGGCTTCTCCATGAGATTTAGCTAGCTATCCAAACCACTGAACGATTTTAAGGAAATCATTATTAATGCTAATACAGAGTCCACAGGTTTTGAGTCAGCATTTGAAGTTCGGTGGCATTAACTAGATCATCTAATCTGATTTTAGTTCCACCAGGTTTTCTGAGAGTTTGGTCTCCAGCAGCTGGATGCAGCTGTTCAAGTCATATTCAATGGCCCAAGGATGCTAAGCTGCTCAGACAAAATGGGCGTGGGAGCTACTCTCTATTTCCTGATACCTGAGTGCTGAAATCATGGGGAATTTTTGTGCTGAATGGTTCCAGCTGGCCTCACCAGACATTGCTGTGCAGGCTGGCTTCATTCATATCTCACACTCAAGCATGCCAATCTCAAAGATGAATCTGAACCAGCCTCCCAAGGCCAGTAACTGCAGCCTTTCCCTGCCCTTTATCAATTCTTCTCATTCAAGTAGAAAAGCTGAAGGGATTTTTACAAATGCAACTGACACTAATGAAGGGCTACTTGAGTGAATCAACTGGCCAAGACATGCTAATGAGTGATAGCAAATAAGTTGAATACCTAAACTCACTGGGGTGCTTGTAAATTAACTCTCTGGGTAAGGAGAGCTCAGTTTGAAGAGTTTGCAGATTTCTACAGCATAAACACACCTACCGTGGTCCTTTTCAACCTTCCAAGCATGAGGTCAATGAATGCTAGAGCTGGGGAGAGATGGTACAATTAGCTGGTGTGAGCTGGCTCAAGTCAGCCACAGCACAGCTCTGCTGAGCCAGACTTTAATTGGGCATGTACTTTACTTTGTGCCAACAACTTGACATGCATGAACTCATTTAATACACACAGCAACTCTCTATATAAGGCAGGAACTGTTATTATGGAGGCTTAAAATGGATTAGTTCCTTGCTTAAGTAGCAGAGCCAGAATTTGATTCTGAGTTTGCCTAACCCCAAAGTTCATGTCCTTCACTTTCTTGCTCCTGTCTCCAGACTTTCATAGTAAGTAGAGGCAGGAGCATTTCAGATGGTATCAGACATGGTCACCTGTAAGGGAAGGCTCTACTCCCATGGGAGGTGGAGCAGCAGACTGGCTTAAATGCCTAGAATTCCTTTTAAGTCCTTTAATCACCTCCCTTAATCCTGGCATGACAAATGTTTTCCCATGTGCTTTCATGTCCATGACTATCCACTGTTGAAATTAGCCCCAATCGGAGTCAGCAGGGACAAAAAATTATCAACCAACCACCTATGGAAATTCAACCACATCACAGCTGGAAGCACAGTTGATTCCATCAGGGGGCAAATCCATGCTCCTGAAAAATCTCCAGGTTTCCACCCTAGCCCAGACACAGGGCAAGCTAGAACACATGACGTATTGTCAAGGAAAAGTATAGGGATGCGTTTGAAGAGAGGTAAAAGCAACTCTCTTCTTCACTCCCCCAGGCCAAGAGGGAAAGTTGTCCCTCCCAAGCCACAAGTAGAAACCTGGGCACAGAGGCCATATGTATCTGACTTTCATCTGCATGCCCCAAAACACTTTACCCATGCTCTCATGAAATGATACAATGGTATTTCATGTAACATGTTTCATGTTCATATTCAACATGTATCCATGCCCACTGACCCAAGGAGTGCTCTACAACTTTTTCAAAAAATAAACTATTAGTATGTTGGGGGGTGCTTAGATATTTCAAAATGTGGCAAATGGATGCCCTTTTAAATAGTGCCCACTCCCCAGGAATTCCCATTCTGGTGGAAAATGACATAGAACTGTAACTCACCAAAACACAAAAAGGGAGTTTGGAGAAATGCTGGTTTGGAGTTGAATTTTCAGCACTGGAAATGCTCTTCTCGATTCCAGCTGCAGACAACACATTGCAGTGACATGGAAGGGAGGTTGCAAATGTCACTTTGCCCATTTTATGAATCCCTTTGAACCCGGTATTTGCACTCGATGAGCTGCTCCAAGCATCTCATTTCTGTTTTTGCTGAACCCATTCCAAGGGTTGACATCCATCTTGCACCTGGTGACAGAAGTTTGGGGGAGTTGCTAATGTAGTCATTGGCAAAATTTTTCACCTTGGCTGTGGTAATAACCTTAGCTGTGACTCACTTGCCACCACAGAAAACCTAGCCTAGTGCCCAAAAACTTTGCAGGTTATAATGCCCAAGTTTTTAACAGCACATCTATCAAATGTGGGGTTTTTTGTGTTCTGTTCCTTTTTTAATAAATGGGAAATGAGAAATGAGTTGCTATGGCTCTGTAATGTAATTTTAGAATCCTGGCATGAAGGCGACAGCTGCTGAGAGAGAATTAGGCAGGGTCCCCATTATATCTTGGCCTTAAAGAAAGGCCTGAGGAAGCAAAAATAAAATAGAATTTGAAATGAAATTCACAAGGCACTGCTAGGCACCAGGGATACAAGAGGGATTAGCAAAGACAAGTGCCCT